AACATTCTGTCAGCTTCTATGTGGTAATGCAGATTGATCTGCCATTGCAAGATTCATCCTCATATGAAGCAATTATATATCTTTTCGTCCTGGTTTCTTCAAGTATCAGAGATATCAGCAGAAGAAACACTTAAGATGCCATGTTATAATCAGAAATCTTTCCAGATACATACATACTAGCCATCCGTGACATCGTATGTGAAGGATATATTTTCCTACATACATCTTTTAAAGGAATATATATATATATATATATATATATATATATATATATATATATAATATTTTTAGGAGATATTGGAAACTTGCAAGTGAATAATAAGTTTAGTCTTATACCATAAAGACAGAGACTAGCATTTACTGGATACTGTATGGTACCTGAGCTTGAAACATAATGGTGCACAAGTATTTGGGATATATTATGCTCGACATGAGAAGCCAAGACGTAGCAATCATTCACGCGACCTGTCGCACTGACTGCCAAGAAATGACAACTTCAGATCCAACAGATGCAACAAGCATTCAGCTACGGTACCCTTAGCTCATCGTTGCTCCGTATCTTCCTGATCTGAGAAGAACATCCAAGCCTAAGCAATTCAAACTGTTCTCACACCGACAACAATTAATTTCCAGCTATAATTCTACGAGAGCTTCAATCGACACCTCTCCATCCGTCAATAACAGTTTTGGATCGATAAATGGTGCTAATGCATCCCAAGGACAAAATATGTACAAATTTGTAGGTTGCATGATCTACCACCATAACCTTCCCTTCGAAGAAAATTTGTGTCGTCGTAAGCGATTGCTCAACCACAAACATGAGCAGTTAATCTTCTCACTGGCATGCACATGGCTTGCTCTCTCTCCAACCCAACATACAACAACCTACGCTTCCAAAGTCAAGCGCCTGCGGACGAGCAGATGAGAAAGATTAAGCTGGAATCACCCTAAAAGATGCTGAAATCCATCGTAGCCACACACACATACTCGCAGACTTGGCGATAAGACATGACAAGTTTCAGCGTGAAGAACAATGTGCACCACGGGCTCTCAACCACAAGCCACACCACTGCAAGAAACAAGGAAAGAATCAACACTTGAGATGCACATTCACCGAGCAATCCCAAACAGTGATAATAGCCACACATATGACACCAAGGAATGTTGGGATTAAACCTGTCTACTTCCCCGAAGCGATATTGCTGGGTTCCAACTGCGCTCTGAGCTCAATCCCTAAGCGAATGAGCTTTGTTTCGGAGTAGTAATTTTAGAGAAAGAGGAAAAGATAGTGAAAAAATAAAAATTAATTGCTTTAGATTCATCAAAGATTACTTATTTATAATTTTAAAAAATGAATTATTGTTTTTAATAAGGAAGAAGTTATCCATAGCTTAATAAATCTTCTCATCCTCATCCGCAAACTAAAAAATAATTATTCATCCATTTATCTTAATCTAAATTTTTATCTTTTGTTGTATCTAATCCTAATTATCTGAATTAATTTTATCATACTTCCTTAATTCAAAATAATTATAACTTAAAATTATCTTTGAAAAAAGTAATTATTTTTTACTATAACTTTTCTAAAGATGTCGGCAAGTTGATTTTTGATGTTGTAATAATCTATTTGAACTTCTCCTTTATTAATCAGTTTATAATTAAAATGATGTCAAATATCAATATGTTTGATGTGCTCATATAAGATAAAATTCTTCGTTATTGTAATAATATACTTGTTGTTGTTGCAGTAGATTTTAGTTAGTTCATCTTATTTTTCTTGAAGATCTAATAAAATTCTTGAAAGTCAAATTGTTTGATATGTACTTGTAGTCACAACATACTCCACCTTAGAGCTTGAGAGAATAATATATTCTTGTTTTTTTGTTATCCATGAAGTCATCTATGAGCCGAGCATAAATCATGAAGTATTTTTTCTATCATCCGCACAACCAACCTAATCACTATTAGTATAATAATATAACTTGGAATCTTTTATCTGTTCATAATGTATGCCATAATTAAGAGTTTGCTTGATACATTTATGAACTCTTTTAGTTACTCCAAAATAATACTTAGGTTGTGTATGAATTTAGACAATAAATTAACTGCAAACATAATATCTAATCTTGAACGTCTGAGATAAATTAATCTATTGATTAAACTGCTATACTATTTCTCATATGTTTTTTCAATGACATCAGCTAATATAAGTTTATCATTTATATTTATTAGAGATTCACTAGCTTACAAGCTATTATATGAAACTTTTTAAATAAATCTTTAGTATATTTTTGTTGATACAAAAATTCTATTTACAACTTAAATAATTTCTATTTCTAGAAAATAATATAAAAGCCCTAGATCAGAAAATAATGTAAAAGCCCTAGAAACATAAAAGTAAGCAATACAATCAAATACCTTTAAGTGATTCACATATGGCTTTCTATCCGACCATGCTTCATAAGATGTTTTTCTTTTTCCTGTTTTAGTAGGAAAGTGATTTAACAAATACACTGCTATACTGATAACTTCTATCCAAATCTCTTTTGGTACTATTTCTTTTAAGCATACACTTGCAAGTCTCAATCATAACTTGTTCTTCGGCTACTATATTTTATTGGGGGTGTAGCTCTAGTCAATTTCCTATGAATGTTTACATTATTGTAAAAAATAAAAAATATTTAGAAGTAAATTTATCCCCTTTAAGTTTATAAAGTTTTAATAAAATAACCATTTTATTTTTTTACATATACGTTGAAAATTTTGAAAATAGAAAAAACTTTAGTTTTTCTTCAGAAAATATACTTGCATCATTCTTGTGTAATCATTTATAAATAATAAAAAAATTACTTCCACCACATGAGACAATCTACATAGGTCCATAAATATTTGCATGCACAAGTTCCAACTATTCTTAGGTTCTCCAAGAATGAACTGTCTCGAAGAAATTTCTATGCTATTTTACAAAAACATAAGATTCACAAACAGTATCTTTATTCTTAATTTTAGGCAAATAAACTATCATATTTTTATAATTTAACAGTTTTAGTCTATCATAATTTAGATGATCATATCTTTTATGTCATAATGTTAATTCATCAATAACAATAGCAATAAATTCATATAAAACAATATTTTATTTTCTGTCATCCTTACGGTTGCTAACATTTTTTAATTTTTTTTATCATAAATTAAATATTTTTATCATAAAAATAGCATAATATGTTTTTCTCATCAATTACTTTATACTAATGAGATTTTATTTTAAAGTAAAAATAAACATCATATCATCAATAAATTTTTTATTAGATTTGATGTTCCCAACAATTATTCCTTTCCCTTCCTCTCAAACCTTACTATTAATTCCCATGTGTATTGTAGATTTGATTAAACTATCAAATATTTAAAATAAACTTTTGTCTCATATCATATGATTACTATATCCGCTATCCAAAAATAAATAAATCTAGAACATTTTTTATCAAATGCCATAAAGAAAATATTTTTTTTATCCTTTACTTGATTTTTGTTCCAATAATTTTTTTCAAGACTGCTATATTTTTTTACACTGAAAGTAGAGAGGAATATTTAGATTTTTATTTTTCTACTAGAAATATTTGTCAATATATCCAATTTCTTTGTAACAATTCTATGTTACCTTCATTAGAGTTCTTCTAAATCTCATTTGATCGGTCTCGTTCCTTGCCTCGAGTATCAAATTGTCCATGACCTCTACCATTCTAACCTTTCTTTTGAGATTTGATTTTTGGATTTTCTTTCGATCATTCTTCTAATCTATCTTCGTTTGAAGAATATATTCTAAAGTTTCATCTAAATATTTATTTATTTATTATTCATGAACTAAAAGCGAACACATTAATTTATCAACAAATAATGTATTTGTAACTTTAGCTTCTTCTATAATAGTAAAAATCATATCAAATTTTAGAGTTAAGATTCATAAAACTATTTCTACACATCAAATTTAGGTTTTCACCGTAAGACCTCATTTGGTTCACAATATAAAAGATTTTTTTAAAAAAATAGGAATAGATTCATAATTTTTCATCATAATAGTTTTAAATTCATATCGAAGAATTTGAAGTTTTAAATTTTTACCTTGTTTGTATCGTCAATCATATTTTTTAATATCTTTTAAGCTTTTGTTGATATCGATGCTCATATGATTTGGGAAAATAAGGATTTATCTATTGCTTATTATAGCATATAGAGAGCTCTTACATCTTTCTATATGTTCTTATTCATTTGATCTTTAGTAATATTGGAATCATGTCGATTATACTCAATAAAATCATTTTCTATCAAGTTTCATAATTCTTGTGAAATAAATAAAGTTATTATTTTAATGGTTCAAAATTAATAATTTTCAACTTTGAATATAGGAAAGAATTGATTAGAAATATTTACTCCAATGTCTATCATCTTTTTTTCTTTTATTGATGTCCCTTTCTTTTTTAATTGACATATTTTTACTAGTATTTCTAGAACCAAGCTCTTATACCATAAACTTTACCGAGAAAGAGGAGAAGATAATAGAAGAAACAAAAAAGTATTTCTAATCTACAATGTTTTAGATTCATCCAAAAAATATATTTATAGTAACAAAAGAATAAATTATATTTTTTAAAATAAAATAAAAAAAGTCATCTATAGCCCAACAAATCCCCTCAAAGAAAGTACATCAAAAAATCAATCACCTTTTTTTTTAATTTTAATTTAAAATGTTATTTTTTGTTACATTTAATTCTAATTATTTGAATTATTATTTCGTCTGATTTTTTGGAAGTATCCGTAAACGCATTAGTGGCGGAGAGCAGAAAAGGCACATGGTCTGCCGGAAATCATGAGAGAGATGCTATAGAAAATAATAGAGACAACTCCTGTCGCATGCAAAAAGCCTGGAGATCATCAAGGAAAGAGCTGTGTTGCCCACGGCCGTCTCCTCTCAGTATACTTTTGCTATTGACCGTCGACGTAGTGTCGCAAATGTATCAGTATGTAGCAGTTTTATATGTGTCTCTTCTCAGTATCCTTCTGCACTCGTAGTAGTATCGAAGAGGAAGCTGACACACTAGTTTCGATGAAGGGTTCTTTCAGATAATGGCTACTGCAACTGTGGCTGAGCTGAGTCCATCGATCATTTTCTGATAGGTGGTCTAACCTGTCCCTACGATGTCATTGTACGTGCTTGCTCTTTGAAACCTATGATAGATAGCCAATCAAGAAGATATGGTTCGACTTTCTACTCTTTCAGCTAATGTTTTGTATCCACTGCGTTCATCTTACCCCTTACCCTTTACCGAAGTAATCGAGCGCTGCTGCCTATCTATTTATAACCAGACGAGTTCGTCCATTGCCTCCCACCACAACATAACACACAGGCATTCCATGATCTCGTTTCTTCTACTCCATAGCTGCCTAGTAGGTTTTGGCAGTACAGGGTACGTCATGGTTAGCCCGAGGAAGCTCATCAAGATGGTAGGTGAGGCAAAGATCTCATTGCTCAGTGGTGGAGATGACGGTGGTGGCAGCTCTCGGAGGACATCGGTGGCTCGAAAGGGCCACTTCGCCGCGTACACGAGGGACGGGCGGCGTTTCCTGATCCCGATAGCTTATCTCAACAGCAGCGTCTTCAAGGAGCTGCTCCGGAAGTCGGAGGAGGAGTTCGGGCTGCCGGTCGGCGACAGCCGCATCACGCTGCCGTGCGACGCGGCGTACATGGAGCACGTCGTGGCGTCGCTCAGAGACGCATCCCTCAAGAGGTGGAACAAGCCTTGTGCGGCTCCCTTACTCCCCACCGGTGCCGCTTCTTGCTCGATCGACATGACTCGGAAGAAGCGTGCACTGCTTCGCCATGGCTGATTTGTTGTGTTGGTATTCTTTTGGAGCACTTGTGTAGAGTTATTCTTCCTTCATCTCGCAGATGCAATCGGTCAGTGTTAGGACCGTCCTCCATCGATCCACATGTGGGAAGGCAATAGGTGTGTTGTTGGTCACGTCCCTGTCTGGCAAACAACAAAAAAAATCGTACTGTAGGGATAAGCCAATGACATGGTTGATGTAACATTCCAAGGAATAACATGAGACTGAGCGATCCAGGAAAATGAAGTGTTATTGCGGCTATAATGTCAAACATTGCAGCTCCCGTGGTCCCTTGCGCGTGAACCAGACGTGCCATCGTTCCTACTGCAACAGGATTAGGTTTGGTTTCAGAGTGAAAGGCGCAGAGAATGGGAAAAGATTATGTTTCAAGCACAATTTCCACACCTGAATAAACAAACTTGAATTCAGAGAGCACAATTATCTGTCACATGAATCCTTCGATCGAGATCTTTTGTTCATCGTAGAAAACGGCCCTAAGGATTCTATAAAGTTTCGGAGCGACCACAAAGAAATAATAGTCTTCTTGCTGACCAATTAAGAAATCCATGTATTTTTGGCGATGCACAGAGGCGGGAAAGTACTACTGCTCATAAAATGCCATGTTGCAATTGCTGCCGCATCACCATCTCAGAATCGGCCTTTAGTAGACGTTGTTGAGTAGTCAGCCTTGCCTTCAACAAGGATGGGAAGAGGCAAAGGTGACCTTCTGTCATTTGTACAACCGATAGCATTAGAAATCTTTTCGACGACTCGAATCCATCGTTGCCATCAGGTGATCATGCCTTTCGTCAAAAGGGAAGGGACTAAAACGCTTGAATTATTCGAGTTTTATATTAGCTCCGTCTCCATGTCCTTCAGTAATATTAGTCTATCCATATGCAACAACGGGTGGATGATGATGAGGGATATCACTCCCGATGCAATCGGTGGAATTTGTATAACTGGAGCAATAGATATATACGATTGGTGGGGCATTTGAACATTTTACCCATTCACAGGCTAAGTTTGAATACCTTCACCAACCTGAGATGTCTTTGGTATACTAGTTTGTCTCATGCGGAAAATACGGCACTCGATTCCACAACCCACTCAACTGCTACTTCCACGTGTACATGTCATTATCTCCTAATATCATAAATATTAAATTTAACTATTTTATGATAAAAAAAATATATTTCCTACGTTTATACAAATCTTTGATCTTGCTATCTGATACCATAAAAGTTCCCACACTCTTTAAGTACATATCTCACATATATACACTAGAATGTGACAATAAACAAGTATCACAACGTAACATATATATATATATATATATATATATATA